AAAATTTTTGGAAATTTAATTCAAATGCAAGGGAAACCCCTTGCAAGTTTTCATTTTTGAACAAATTCCAAATTTTCGGAAATTTAATCCAAATGCAAGGCTAACCCCTTGCAAGTTTTCTTTTATCAGAAAAATCCAAATTTTCAGAAATTTCATTCAAAAGCAAGGCTAACCCCTTGCAAGTTTCCATTTTTCAACAACCCCAAAATTTTTGGAAATTTAATTCAAAAGCAAGGGTAACCCCTTGCAAGTTTTCATTTTTGAACAAAATCCAATTTTTCGGAAATCTAATTCAAATGGAGGGCTTACCCCTTGCAAGTTTTCATTTTTCAACACCCCACAAATTTTCGGACATTTAATTCAAATGCAAGGCTAACCCCTTGGAGATTTGAATCTTGATGCAAAGATGTATCTCCAAAAAATTAAGATTTTATAAATATTGCAGATTTAATATTTGCAAAGATGATTTATTTTCAAAATAACCTGTTCCTTTCCTCATATTTTCCAATATACCCAAAAGTTTCTGAAAATTTATAAAAACACGAGTCAAACCCATGGTGATGTTTATATCTCAATAAACCCCATATTTTCTGAAAAATACTTAATACAAAAGGCTTACTAATTTGGGGTGTTATTATAAATTAGAAAAACAAACGCTCTCAACATTAACTGAAATTCGAGGCTAGCCCCCTGCATATTTTAATTTTTCAACAAACGCTTGGTTAAATGAAAATTAAAAACGCATGGGTAACCCTCTGCAGGTTCAACTTCAGGTAATTTCATTCCTAAATTCTTTTGCAAAATAATTTGGACACCGTGTTATGTATAATATTGTGGCTTTTTTACCAGAATGTGAAATTGAATTTCCAATGTGCCTCCCACATCTGGTTTTCTAACATTGTCCAAGGCAGTTTCCTTTTCATTATGGACCCAATTTTAGTATAAATCAAATGATGTCTCTTGTCTGAGCCTGATGAAGTGACATCATCAATAAGGTCTAAAACAATACCTTGAAAACAAAAAATTCTGAATGTTCCCGAGAGTAGCTCATCTTAGATTTCTACCTGAAAATAATCAGAAATGCTGGTTACTGATTTCTGAGCTGAAGCAAAGTATTGCCATGGTCTCTGATGGTTATCAGGAGGAAAGTGACACCCAACCCAAGGGTGTCTCGGTCCTCTCAACTTCGTCTTTCCCATTTCACCTGCTCCTCCTGTAACACTCATTTCAGTCATCTTTGACGACAGCATCAGTTAACTTGATTATCTGCAATCATGTTAAGATGGATAAGGTTTGTCTTCCAAGTCACAGTCAGCAATCTGCTCCTCAAGTGGCAATCTCCCTTAGAGCTGATCGTCATTTTCCCCGTCTTGAGTCTTTTAGCTTTAAGTGGAGAGTGACAGCTGACCCAAGATGTCGGCGACCAAATTTGACAGATGAGAGAAGTAGTCCTCTGCACCACCTGATTCAGCCTTCTCCTCCAGGGCATGTGTTTCGTACTCTGTTTTCAATTCTGACAATCTGAATCAAAATAGGATAAAAAAGTTATATAAGATGAGGAAACGGGAGAAATTGTGGCATTGTATCTAATTGTGCCCAGCATGTCTAAAATGCATCCACAACTTTTAACAAAGGCATTTTTCTTAAAGTTCCATGAGGAGTTCAAACTGTCAACTATAAAAGACATTAATATTTCATTTCGACATATGGAGAAAGCTCACTGGATAATGACACTGGAATGTTTTACACTCAGAAATGATTTCAGTCAAGGCATTTAGATCAACCTGTTCTTGTCAAGCGTGCGTAAACTGCTCTGGAGAGAGGGGAGCAGAACTGACCGTCCAATCAGCTGTTTGTCTTTGTGATAGTTCATCTGACACTGGTCTAGCAGGAGTTGCATGGCTAGAAGCACCTTCTCTCGGATGTCGTGCTCTGGTGCTTGGAGCAGGGACGGAATGATCTCACACCAACCTTGCTTCATCATCTGTGGAAGAAGCTTGACCCTGTCCGTAAAATAAAAAGTGACAAATGTCAGGTATTATGAAACATACACAAACTGTCTCAACCACTCCAACTTAGTACCTTTAACTTTAGCCTAACCCTCCTAATCAGTCAGATTCTGTGTTGCACTCAAGTACCTTTCCGTGAAGAAGTTGTATAAAAGAGTGTTTAATAGTCTACTAGAAAAAGGCTGAAGGGACAAGGGGCAGCCCTAACTGAAGTGCTAGCTAAAGTGCTAGCTAAAGTACTAATTTAAGTTTCAGAAAGGCACAAGGTTTCTAAGCAAGAGAAGAAAAGTATTCACTGTCACAACAGACACATGAAATTTTTCATGCGAGTGCAAGTGCATTTTCATGAATATGCTTGCAAAAGATTTCAAGTATGAGTACAAGAATGAATTTAAAATCCACCAGGATAGTGTGGGGATTTTGAAGCAATAAGAATGGTATAGCCTTTACTTTTTTCATACATACTGTTTGTATTGTTGAATTCTTTGCTGTTTAACTTTGTCTCCACTGCCTGGTTCCTCTGTCACAAGTTTCTGAAAAACAAATCAAATGTTTGGCAATTGGTATGAATGTTCTTGCAGATATGAGGAAGTTACACACTCCAGTCTTGGGAATAATCATTCACACTCCTCAGCTAACTCTGAATTGTTGCCCAAGATCAAGATGAAAATAGCAGGTGTTAACTACCTGTTCCAGAAGCAAATCATGTAAGAGCGTTACAGCCTTGACTTGGAGCTGAAGTACCCCCGGATCTGCCTCCCTGAACAGCGTCAGGAAGCTGTCCAGACCTCCTAACTGCAGGAACTTGAGTTGGGCATAAGGGAAATGACGGATTAAGGAGGAGATGGCATACATGGCCTTCTTGCGGATATCACGAGGCTGAGAAATGGAGAGAAGTTGAAGAAGCTTCTGGATAGCACCACGCTCAATCGCCTCCACCTGCACCTTTGGATTGCTGGAGAAGTGCGGAGACAAAGTAATGATGTGACTTTCTCACTTTCCCAACAGTTTATCTCTAACTGCCTTCAAGTTTTCTTGCCACTATGTGAACTAAAAAGGGAAGGGTGTGTTTCTAAATACCAACAACATTCTTTTTGGCCAATATCCTGGTTAGTTTGCCTCTACAGGACCTGCACGTGTACAAAGTAAACATTTTCAAACAAACAGCTGGGCCTGTTTTTGTGAATTTCTGAAGGAGTTAACCATAACCGTGAAAATAACAACCAGCTTGCCATAAAAAGAGATGTTGAATTATTCAAGGCATTGAGATGTAACTCATTTTCTTAGGCATGGTGATCTTACCTCTGCACTGCCGATCCCAAGACAAATGCAGCCTGTTTACGGATTGCATCCCTTGTATCGTTGAGCGCTCTGATGATCAGGTCAAAGCCACCGATGGTAATCAAATCTTGGGCATTGTCAATCTGCAGCAGCAACAAAGGATAATCATCTCTCACTCTTAAAAATGAACCCAATAGCCCTACAATTGCTAGCATTACAAGGCTAGCATACTGTGTTCTTCTTAGAGAGTTATCTAACATTGTCACCCAAGATCATCAAGGTTCTTCATCAGCATGTTCGAACACTTCCCTCATGCTTACCCATGGTGTCAGCCTAGGTTTAGGTGGGTATGCACAACATGCAGTAATAAACAAATTGTCTCAGAATATTTGAAGTGTCTCAACTTGGTGAAGAGGTCATGTATCCATTAAATTTGAAAAATGAATTTGAATATTCAAAAGCGACAAACGCCCCCAAACACCTTCTTTCAAAGACCTTTGGTAATTGAGTCAATTTGCCATTACATTCAACCCTGCCTCAAATTGCTTACAATGGTGTCAATTTTTCTTCGTGCCATTTGACTGAGACGCAATGTTTTCACATTGTAGCACGGATACTTCCGTAAGTTACCCGCTCGGAAGATGGGTCACTTTGGCCAGGGGTGAGTAAGCTCAAATGCAGCTCTGCTTACATGGGTAAGCGTGGAAGAAGTAACTGAATGCAGTGGTTTTCACTTTAAAGAAACTGCCAAAAAAATTTGAGAGTTCTTGAAAGATACCTGGTGAGCATAAAACTCTAGGTCATACAAGGCTGCCTCTTGTTCCTCCAGACTGGCTCCTTCTTGCTGGTATTTCTCCACTAGCCGTCTCATTATCTCTACATCTGTCTCCATGTTCAGCTGCATCTCCTCAAAATCCTTCTTCAGCTCGTCCATGGAGCGGAACTTCTGCCTGATTTGATCAATCTGGGGATGTAAGAAGGGACATACTGGATTACTAGCTCATAAAAGGAAGCATACTTTCTTGAATTTGTACAGGTCAATAACAAAACAACATAAAGCCTGCTTTCTTTTTATAAACAAGGTTTGGACACTGCTGCCAACACTGTTGCTACACAGACCAATCAACCAATCTGAGGAGAAGTATAAAATGACCTGATGATGTCGTGAACACTTGATTAATCCTCCCAGATCCATCTCAATCCATCAGGTGGATTTGGAGGATTTTTGCAGGTAAAAAGAGGAGAGAAAACAGAGCTCATGCACAAAAGGTTTAACTGGAGCATGATGCTCCATGAGCATACAAAGAATTTGGCATCAATTTACTATTCTGAGGGGTATCTTGAAGTTTCAGGAAGACACACAGAGAAAATTCCACGGGCAATGAGGTTCATAATTCTAATTAAAGAGTCAAAAAAACTTCACATCTTTTTTTGTGAAAAACTGAAGGAGGTGGACCATTTTCAACTGCATAGTTTTGCTGAGGAGCCTTTATGTATTCTGTAGGTTTGGAAAAAATCAAACATGTTAAAACTTGTATGAAATAATGGGGAAAAAGAGGAAAAAACAGATTGGCGGGGAAAAAAGAATCATGTGAAGATAAAATTGTTAGTACAGGTAATTACTGCGTTAGTTTTCAATTCTTACCCTCTTCTGATCTTGAACATCATCCTGCTCTGCTTTGAACTTCTTGAGGGCGTCCTTCAGCTCCTTGTGGGAGAACTGATCCCTTGCCTCATTGGTTTCTCCTCTCTTGGCATCTCCCTCGTCATTCTTGGCACTGGTTTTCTTCCGATATCGTTCCCCGTCATCGCCATCCATCAGCTTGGCCATCTTCTCTCCAGTTTTGAGACTGATCTGCACATGTAAGCCAGCTGGTATGGCCTGGCCTGATGAAGCAGATTGACAACATGAATGGTAAAGAAAATCTGACCAAGGTTTCATTTGAATAAGCTAGGGGAAAGGTGCTATCCCTATCCCAGGTTTTCTTTAATTATGAAAGGCAGAAATTCAGGCTTTAAAAGATTTGTTACCATCCCTGATAGAAATCTTGCAAAAAACCAAGTTGAAGTTTTCAACTATTATGATTTCCTGAGAATCACCAACATTATTTTTTTAATCATACCTGCTTTGACTGGCTGCCATTGGTCGGTTGGTACAAAGACATCAAGATCTTCTAGGTCTATTTCCTCTTCAATCATTCCATCAGAGTCCTCATTTGTCTCATCTGTTGCCACTGCAATCACTGAAGTCTGTCTATCTGCACCATCTCCTTGGACGCAGAAGTAGCAGGAGGTAATGAACAGTAAAAGAGCAACAATGTGGAAGATGCGTAGACTGGTGATAATCGTCATTGTGGTTGTGGATGATACAGATGCCAGCACCCCAATCTGGATGTTACTGTAGAAAGTCAACATTTTGAACAAATCACAATTAGCCTTTACCTTCAAACAAACTTCAACTTTTCCTGAAAACAGCATTCTCTTGGAACAATACCTTCCTGAGTTTACATTTTCCTCTTACTTCTATGCACTGGAACGACAGGATCAATGTGGGACAAATATTTGACGAGACAGAATTTTGTCCAACACCCCAGTTCATTAGTTTTGTACGGCCAATTATAAAAGTCACTACCAGTGAAAATGGATCTGAGCAATTGGTCCCCTTTTCAAAGCAATCACTTTAGAGACATTAATTAGAGTTAAAAAGAAAGAAAAATGATTGACTGATGGCAGCACAATTAACAAACAGACCAATACAATAAAATGATCAATCATTCATGCACTGTCATGTAGATCTACCATTGGACATGTTGAAATATCTTATTAGTTCTAACTGACATGCCTATTTTAATCACACTGTAAAAGCAAATGTAAAAACACAGACAGGGGTATAACTGGACCCTAAATATTAGTTCAATAATTTGCTAGTCATTTCAGGCCTAGACTTGCAAAAAGTGTGAATGACAGACATAGGATGGGCCTATGACTTGAACGTGTCTTTAACATTTGAGTTCAAAACACGCCAGACGTTGAACTTATTTAGTTTACTTAATGGGTTTAATATGCTACGGCTATTTCCTGGAAGGTGAATGTATGGGTTACACTACAGCAAGCCTGGCAAGGTGACGAACGTGAATAAACATTATGTGAACAGGAGTAACAACAGGTCAGACACTAACAAGGCCTACCTTTCTGTGTCAGAAGCTTCCCACCTATCTTTGACCGCTACTGTTGCATTCAACTTTCCTTTTAAAACCACTATTCTAATTTCAATGCTCATGGAGTGTTGGAACGTCGTTAATAAAGTCCATTTTTATACACGATTATTTTGTACACGTCACACTTCTATTTCTTAACACGTGTATAAATAACATCGCATTATAGCGCCACCAAGTGCCGAGTTCTGTTCCGTAACCGATTGCCTGATTGAGGGCGCTTTTTTAACATCTCTTTTCAAAAACCCTTTTTAATACAAGAACACTGTTTTCAGTAGTTAAAGCCCGAGTAGTACTGTTTTCCTAGTCAGTGGGTAATTCACAAATGCTGACCCTGCCTACAGTCTGAAGACACACTCCCACCGCCGGCATCTCAAGGTTTTTACTCCAATTGCTCTGGCCAGAACTTCTATCTAAAATAACCTGGGTAACATCATGGAGGAAAATGTTCTCATTCCTCTATGATAACATGAAGTATCTCTCCCTTGAAGCAGTCAATAAATCACTTTGAATCTCAGGTTTCAAAGACTCAACAGATTTTTAATGCAACTGTCATTAAACACAATTTTGAGACTCAATTAATTACAAACTGATGAGTGCAAAAGTATTTTCAGCCATTAAATGCCCTTACAAACATCAATATGATATTCAAGTGACCAACTTAAAATTACTGCTGCAGAAGCTTACAAAAATGAGCCTTTGGCCAGCTCCTTAATATCATTTTATGACCTGTGCAGTCAAGTTCAGATTTACAAACCATTTCAGATTCAATATTTCCATACGATTCAGTATTTTAGCAAAAATCACAAATTTTCTAGTTTTAGTTTTCATAATGAATTCATCGAAAGTGATAACAAGCACCTCTAAAATCTACTGCAATGCCCAAACTTATCACTGCTTGCAAAATTATTTTTGCCCACCTACTAAAAGTTGATCCAACAATATTTGGGGAACTTGAGTTACAGTTGGCAAATTACTCAATTTACAGTAGACAGTATCATGTAATTTGGCTCAAAATCTGTTCTGCTTGCAAAAATTAACTGCCAAGATATTAGCACAACTGCCCTAGTCAACAGTATTACACATCACAAAGAAAAGTGGATATAGGCAGCTCACAAATTACATTTTCTTTAATGGTCCACAGAAAGTTGGGCACTGAACGTGTCTCATGAATATTTATGCTAATCTTCTCTCCTGTCTGGTTTAAATGAAAAAATTACGCACATTCACAATTAATGGGCTGCATACAACAACAAAAGCATCGATGACCTACTCTCTTTGCAGTTGCTCACATCTCTACATTAAGTGTAAATTGGGGTGGAGTGGGGCTTGTGAAAAGTGCCTCCTGAAAAATTTGATCTACTTCCGAAAAGTTCCAATTCAAGATGTTGAGGTATAGGGCCACTATCCCTATGAATTGTCACGAACCCAAACAATCTCTTCCTTAGCAAAAAAAAAAATCATTTTGCAGCTGCACAAAGCTCTTGGAGCTGATTAAACATTCAATCTACAGTTCAGACAGGAATTGATGGATTGCTCTGCCAATCTCATCAGCAGAATCTTCCTGAAGGAAATGGTAGCCCTTGGCTTGGACCATCTTGTGATTGGGCCAATTGCGGCATGCAATGCGGATCGTTGGAGAGAAGAATCCTGGGTCTGCATCAATAAACAGCTTGGGGATGTTGGCCGACTGTGACAGCCAATCATGGTAAGCGTTGACAATGGCAACCACATCTTGTGGTCCGTCAGTCTCAATGGGAATCTCACGTGGCCAGGTCAGCGTCGGCCGGCGATCCTCGCCAGGATTACGGAACGGTTCACGGTAGGCTTCCATCTCATCATCGCTCAGTTCACGGATGATGGACCTTGGGAGAAGAAGCTCCACAAAGAGGTTGTTTTCCAAGACCATGTCCACTCCAGCGTCGGACCGCAGACTCTGAAACATCTTGCGGGCGATCTCTGGGAAGACACTCCAGTCGGGCACTGTGGCTACAATGCTCTCCATGTGAATGATGGATTTGACGCGATCTGGATGCATGTGGCACCAATGGAAGCCAAGTCCAGACCCCCAATCATGACACACGATAGACACCTTTGGAGGCAGATTCACAGCATCAAACCAGGCTGACAGGTACCTGTAGTGATCTTTGTACTTGTAGGTAATTGGCAGCTTGCTGGATCGCCCCATACCGATCAGATCGGGAGCAAGGCATCTCTGCGATCCTTCGACGTGAGGAATCACGTTGCGCCACAGGAAAGACGACGTTGGGTTGCCGTGAAGGAACACCACAGCATCGCGAGACTTCGTCTGACCGGGGTCCGAGTCGTAATAGCTCATTTCTCCGTCGAGAATCTGTATACGGTTGCATTTCCCCCACCAGTCATCTGCCTTAGTAATGTGGGGAGCTGCACTGGACAACTGCTTGCCAGCCACAGAGGCAGGGGCGTTATTCGGGTGCAGAAATCCCAACAGATTCGAAAGCACACGAATTCTAGACGCCATCGTGGAATGGACTGACGAACCTCGATTCTACTACTTTCATGTCAATACTTTCAGTAAAATTCAGTATCGATTTCGAATAATAACAACACTGCCTTGCATTAACAGCAGTGAATTTTTTTTCGTGTGAAAAATAGTGTTGAAAAGCTCTGAGCAGAACCTGTCACAAAGTCTCACGTAATGATGACTTCCCATATCCCACTGAACACCATTTTACAAGTAAAGTGATTCCCGAATAATTGTTTTTGTACTGAGAAATCGATACTTCAACACTGCGCACTTGTACTTTGGCCGAGTTGACTAGAAGTACATGTATGCATGTTTTATTCCCCATGATGTATGCATGTAGGTAGGAGGTTTATCTTTATTCCATCGACCTCCTTTGATAAAGCCAGGTTTGTGTAGAACTTAATGAAAAAATAATGCAAAGTCACTGGCAGCAATGATTAAACTATTATGCTTTATGACTGTTGAGGGTTGATGGTCACGCACACGATCATCGGCTCGCACGCCATGAGGCAGCTGCAGCAGGCCTCGATGCAGTGTAAATATTAAATACCATTCTCAACTGGGCGCAATTCTCGAATGGTTCTTGGCCCGTGTTACAGATGGGACATTTCTTCCTTTATAATTCGCCTGCTGTTTTTTTTATTTAACTCTTTCTTTAGACATTTGTGGTATTTTAAGTCTAACCTGTTCTGCAGCAGACCCCATGTATTGTGCTTTGTACCCAGTATTCTTTTGTTAAGATGTTGCCCAGTGGGCTGACCGGTTATGCAATGGCCCTTTTATTATTTTCTGGGTGTACATGTATTTAAGAAGTGGGTTGTACCATGCTTGGGTGCACTCATCATACCTATGAAATTGAAATGAAAAGTGGTCTTCTGGCCATAATTTTGAATTTGTGAAACAAAAATGGAGGCCAGCCTCTTCACGAGAGTTAACAGGCGGCGCTATTTCGGTCCGATTTTGCACTGTTTTCTATGGGCGCGTATTTGGTGCCGTGCAGCCGTCAGTACTCAAGTACTGCATGTACTATGGAAGTGTTGACCCTTGAATGAACTCTTCGACACAAATTACGATATGCCTTTGCCCTTCCTATGGTGGCAATGGAAGGACATCGACAATCGTCAGTATTGATGACAATATTTGCGACCAAATTTATGACATACTCTTTGATCGCGAGTATTGATGACGATATTCACGACCAAAATTCACGACTCGCTCTGTTGTCGCGAATACTGCTGTCAATATTTGCGACCAAATTCATGGTACGACTCGTTGTATCTCCAGTAGTAAATATTGCCGCAAGTCTTTTTCTAGCAAGCCTGGCAGAGAGAGAGGTTACTCGGCTTAGACATGAAAATGATCATCGAAGTCGCACACCTGTACAGGGCCAGTCACACTTCTTGCCGCCAAGGCCATTTGTACGCATGCGTGCATAATTGTGAATATATAAGTAAAGAGGTCTATAGACGCAGACACCGCTTTTTAACATTGTGCCCCATGCGTTGTGCCAAAACTTCCCAGCCGAATAACGACTCGAGATCAAGCCGAAAAATGTAGGTCACTGCGCGTGCGCGTGGATACTTCTTCCACCTAGCTTGCTGGAAAAAAAATTCGCAGCAATTTGCGAACGCAGACGAGCTATATAATTATGCAATCACACGTATGAAGCCGAACCACGTTTCAAAACAATGCACATTGCATGACATCTATGATGCTAACTCAACAACTATAAAAACTTCACGTGTGAAATTAGGCTCCTATAACGTTCGGGCTTTATTTTCCTAAAAAGAAAATAAACACTCCCTGTCCACAATTTCGACCCAGGATTCCAACCCATACCCCATTCATCACAAACCATTATGCTGTAACACTTGACTACCTCAATTCACACAGGTTGACGGTGTTTTTACTGTTGATATACCGCGAACGGCTGCAATGCGAGTCTAATACATATTGGACATGCGCAATACAAACACAACCGCCGCGCTTTGGCCTCATAGCTCATACGACTGCAAATACATGTGCAGCGTATATCTCCTGAGATACGAGTCGTACAGTGAATTTGGTCGCAAATATTTACGGCAATATTCGACCAAAGAGCGAGTCGTGAATTTGGTTGTGAATATTGGAGTAAATATTCGTGATCGAAGAGTGTGTCGAAAATTTGGTCGCAAATAAATTGACTTCAATATCGGCGATTGGCGCAATATGGCCACCATACCTTCCCAAAATATTTCACCTTCAACACGTCAGCACTTCGATAAACCAACAGAGTAGCCGAATGCGTGTCCATTCGAGAACGGGCGCCGTTCGCAGATGGCCTCTTCAAACCTCAAGGACTTTGGCTTGCAGATAACGTCGAAGTTCAAGGTACAAACTTAAGAATCGATTTCTATTAATTTAAAGATCATGATGTTCAATGGTCGATGTCGTACCTTCCTAGATGTTAATACTTCAGTGGAGAAGGATCAAGTGAAGTCTGCAGAGACTATTTGTCAATTTGTTGAGTTTAATTCGAACCACAGAGCAAGGACACCTGCACCATGTTTAAACACGGTAAGTGTGATTTTACGTCATTTTGTCAGAAAAGGAGGTATTATTAAAATTCTGAGGTGTTCCATCTTTAAATCAAAGTGCGGAAACCACGACTAGCTTCTTTTTTTTTATTAATATAAATCTGACTGATTATGCTATGCAGATTTCCCCAGTCTGTCGGTTCTTTGGAATTTTATTCTGTCACGTTGTTAAAGTAAAATCGCTTTACCCCTCCCCTCTGGGAAGCGGGACATGCAGAGTAAACTTGATTTCGACAGCAATAACATCACCCCCAATCCAAATCTTCAAGACTTCAAAAATGAGGATAGATCAACGCAACTATCGATGCTTAGGAGCAAACTGCGTAATGACTGAAAAAAACCTCCACGGTAACATGTTCCTCTCCAATTTTATTAAAAAATCTAAATGGATTTTTGTAATATATTATTGTATGTGGACAAATCTTTCTTTTTGTTGACTCTGTTAATGTATTTATTTATTATCTGTGTATTACTTCTAAATATAAATACACTGTATCGTATTTGATTTATTTGCCGGTGAAAGTCGAATTTCTGTGTTTTTAGACAGACTATAAACTGTCTGGAATCTTTAATCTTGGTACCGTTCATTTTTATACGCATATATAGTTATTATTTTCGAAAGTATAGTTTTTGTGGTCTATGGACCATCCACTTGAACGAGGCATTATCAGCCCCGAATGACGTAACTTGGCCATAAAAATAAGTAAATTCTGGACGTATTTGAGGTAAGGCGCAGGCATTAGATCCTCCGCGGGAGGTCACCGTCGTTCACGTAATTTGGCAAGGCCGAATTTTGGACTATATACCCTCCCCGCCCGCATTGTGTCAAAGCATTTGAGAGCCAATTCACAGTGGATTGTTTGCTCGCCGTACATTCAAGCATGTCAACAAGCCATTGTCCTGCCGTGATCAAAGTGCAAATCTAATAATAATAATACCCGGGACAACAATGCCATAAATCCACACAAGCATTCTTGAGCCGGACCCTGATGGACTTGTAGGTTGACAATGGATGGCATTCGAAGACTGTAGGTTGACCCGAACGTGAAATCCCACCGACTAATGATGGCAGCGATGTAATTTCTGTGTGTGCCATGAAGTGTTCTTTCCTTTCTCGCTCATGCTTAGTCTGCAAGGGCAGAGCCATGTCAAGACAAGGTAAAGTTTGCATGCTGTGAACTTTTCAGTAACTGTATAACTGATCTGACTGCATTTTTAAGCGAATTCAATTGTGCATTAGAGCTGGATCGTACCATGTCAAAAATTAATGATGAAAGTCAAAAGGAGTGCCAAACAACCAAGCTTGTCACTTTAACAGTTTTTTCTGGTTCTGGAACTGCTTAAAGCCCTAGGCCTATTTGCACAATCCCAAGTTTTAAACAAATCTACCACTAGGTGAATCATAAACTCATTAAATTTATAATTCTGTCCGGGAGGGCTGATCACTAACCACCTGCAGAGTTTGACACTTCGTGGTTTTGCTTGTTATGTTCTGGCCACAGAATTGCCTGAAATTCATTAAACCTCTGGCTATCAACCTCGGAATTTTCAAAAGGAACAGTATTGAAAATCTTAAGCCGTTGTGACCTTTAGAAATGGCCATAAAACAATTAGCAACCATTACGTTTGGCGGATGCATGGTCCATCTTTCCACAGTTGCAGCGGGACTACAGTTAAGCTACCCTAATGGTCGGAAGGCAAACATTATTTGTCGAGATAAAGCAAAAAAAAAAAAATAATTGTGACTGTGAATGAAGGGTAATAATAGGTATATAGGTGCTCCTGTAAGTGCACATCCGTCCACGGTAAGTGGTTTAAGTTGTTTTTCAACCGTCCCGGGTCTGACTTGGGTTCGCTGGTGGGTAGTTTTCCCAGGTTAAGTAGTAAGCTAGTGTGACGATCGGCGGTTGAATGGCTGGTGTGCTAGCTGCACCATGCCCCATATCCAACCTACTGAACTGGCTTCCAAATAGTGGTTGACACTAGGAGCAGTCTACTGGCCAGTTGGACTGATGACCAGATGTTGGCCGACTGAGTTGCTCGCTGGTCGACTGGCTGGCTTGCTTCCAGTATGGCCTTTTGGGCTGACATTCTGCCCCTCGTTATATCGTCTTGTTGTTTCCCCTTTAACCTGTCATAATTCGTTCCTATTGTCTTCACTGTTTCCTTACGTTTTGACTGAGAAGCGTCAATAATTTTGTATAGGCAAAGACCTTTAAATTGAACATCAAGAAACCAATCCTTTCAACAAATCTAATTCATGCTCGTGTCGGTATACCTACTGACAAAATTAACCCACAAATATACACAGACCTGTGGAATACATGTAAGACTTGCAAGTGTGTGTTCTAGAAACCTTCAAGATCGTATCCTGCCAAAAAACATGATTATGAAAACTGTTTCTCAATATTCAGAGTTAGCAAAAATTGCTTCCATGGACCTTTCTACCAGTCCGGATCTGCCCCATCGATGCCCGGACAATGCTCAGACTAATTGGTTTACCCGATGGCTTGTCCGAAATGTACAAGCATATGCAACCAAGAGAAAGAGAAATGGGTTAACTGACCACGAAATCCAGTCCAGGAAATCGAAGCTGTAAACAGGACTTGTCCAGATGGTTTGTGTATCACTCCAACATTTTTGCTAGGATTCAGTAAGGACATCCGTTTTTCGATACTGCTCGGGAATCCGCTGAGGAAGCTTTAAACACTTACGTATCCTGCACAGAAGTGCTTATAGTTTTTGCTGAGGGAGAATAGTTATTGCTCCTTCCTGACCAATTTTACATCACTGTCTTGTGAATTCCCCAGAGCATGATAAAAAACATGTTTTTAAAGTTAATTCCTCGAGTCATGCACTGTCTGTTGCTGAATTAAATTAAGTCACAGCGCTGACATTAACATACATGTATCGAAAGATATCACAAGTAATTTATTCTTGTCAAAGCAAAACATGAAGAACGCTGATCCGGTATCCCCGCAAATTTAGTTTTCATTTACACCGTTTACTGTCTTCTTGAAAAAATTTCTTGCTCAGGCGAAATGAACGGCGTTAATCAATCCCTCTCCCGTTCTTTCAAATTTGTTTCTCATCGGTCGATCCCTCATCCTCTTATGGTCTCAAAAACCTCTTTGCTCGTCTCGAAGGTGCCCAACAGCATGCTGTCAAGTTCTTCTCAACAGGTTTACAAGACGCGACTAAGCTACTTAAATCGATTCACTTGTCGTTGCGAACTTCAACACAGGGCCAGGGACGTTCGTAAGGCCCCCCCCATCACATCAAGAATGGGCCAAAACTTTCTCCAAATCTTAGTAAAAACCACTAGCCCGAGCCCCTGCTGTGAGTCGGAGGACCTTAGAATGCTTCCCTCATTAGCTCCATTAAGGCTATCATTCTTTGTTGCATTAAGATTAAGCTGACAACATGTTGACAACAAGATGCCAAAGGGGTGTTGACAGCGAACTAATGACCCCATACAATGTGTGGACATACGCAAAATATACATTGTAGTGTATTCATGTCTATGCATGGCAACCTCAAGGCGGTTGTTGTGGTGATCAGGGAGAACAAAGCGTGGAAGAGTTTCATTTCATTGGACTAGGAGTGACATAAGTGTGGCTTCAAAGAAGACAGCTAAAGATAGCCAAAGATAGCTAAGCATCGGACAAAACACTGGCAGAGCGGGAGTAAAAATTACTTGGATATTGTCTTTGATAGTTTGTGGAGCATAAGGCAAAAAAAAAGGTTGTGTCGAGCCTCATCTCGACGATCTCGTCGTATTTGTCACATTTTCGACGTTGTCAAAATAGCATTAGTTTGATAATAGTTATCAAGATTATTTTATGAAAATAAAGTGCCAAATGATCGACTTTCTCCGTCAAATGTACATTGCGCCCTCTATTGAAAGTACAGTGGAAAAAAGTCACGACAAGCTGTGTGCCACCGCTACGCATTCCATGTTGCGTTTCACCGGAAATTGGGATCAAAAGTGAAAACAAGGCTCTTGCTCATTGACCCAAATAATTTTATCCAGGGAAAATCTACGAGGTCGGCGTTGCCCATTTCTCTTTCTTTCTGCGACTGATTTTTCATATGTAATCAGGTAGGTCCCGTTCTGCGTGGCTGTTGGCGATTTGTCACTTCGAAATTATTTCAGTGTCACCGTTCGAGACATCTACGTCCATGTAGTTTGAATGAGACAAATACAAGGTCATTCGCTGACTTGGGGCAGGTGGAAACGTTTGCATATCAGCCAACATTGTGCAGTGGTTGTTGTTAAGGTTCGGTTCCATTGTGTAGGTTGTGGAGCCACGAAAGGCTAGGTAAGCCTAGGCCTATCACAGCTTATTCCTGGAAAATGGGGGATGCCGTGTTGACGCAGCTTTCTTCACTTTCTTTGACGATTCCGAATTCCCGATAGTATTGAATATGTTGAAGATGTTGATAACAATAAACACAAACCATTCAGAAGGTTGTCAGAAGTGTCGTCTAGAACCTGCTCGAAGTGAACAGGCGCTACAGATACTGAATCCAGTGGAAATGACATTGGTTTTGGTCACTCGATCAGGTCTAAGATCGAATTGTTGTTTCAATGCAACATGGACAGAGCAGGTCTGGACGTAAGTCTGAAGAAAACTTTTGACTGGCTCATCGACCCCAGCTTCTGGATAGCTTGGATTCCATCCAATTAGCGCGCTCCCAGACGTAGCAATTACAGCATTACAGGAAGATGGAGTAGAGTACCATACTATTATACATCTTGTTTAACGAATCGGTTAGTTTGTTCCATTTCTGTGAAGTTCAGGATCGAATCAAATGATTTTCGGCAGATTAGGATCACTGAGGGGGTCCACTTTGAAGTGGTTTCATGATTGGATGTTTGACGTGGTTGTACCCATGGGTGGCTGGCGTCACCGAGAGGACCTGAGAACGCAAGGGATGTGAAGAGGACCGGGAGGGTATCCCTGGGCCCTCTCTTGGAGACGGCAATTTCACCATACCTCGGACCACGTGGGACTGGAGAAAATTCTTTCCAGCGACGGATCGATTCGTGTTTAGCCAAGATGAGATTATGAGGGTCGCACGGTCCATAAATTATTCAGCGTGTTTTGACACTATTAGCCTATGAATGGGTGGCAGGCGCCACTAAGTTTGCCGCGTCACACACCACACCACCAGTACTACTTCCCATTAGTCTAAAGCTGGAGTTCGGACGGTGCACAGACTCTACAGTCCATCCGCTTGGGGAAGCCCACTAACTGCAAAGCTCACCGTGATATGTAGTCAGTCACTTACGGGACGCCGAGGCAACAGCAAGCCCAGCTTGTCAAAGACAGTCTTGTGGATCACCTAGCCCCGTCACGCTTCGTTTGGAAGGCTGCGGATTTGGAATTTTATTGCTCTCTTAAAAACTTGGTCATTTTTTATGCGATTGTTTGCATTTCTGGTGTTTTTCTCAACCACTCCGCAATGATTGTGGGTGTTTTAACCCTGAAGAGAACAAATCACACTCGTTGGAGGGCTCAGATTGACACAAACCACAGGCAGATCTCAAACTGAGACGGAAATCATAGTAAATCCTTCACTATTGGCTGAACTGGACACGTGACACGCACGAGCATCTAAGCCTTTTCCTTCAAGCTCAGCTCAGATCAACTCAGCGGGCGTCCTGGAATAATACTGTCGAAGAGGACTGTCCGACCTCCAGCCAACCTTGTGCTGACCGCATGGTCCAGCCCGATCAGTCGGATTGTACCTGGCAGGGATCAAGGCACCGATCGGGGGAGGGGGTGGGCAGGTCGGCCGAGTAGTGCCACGGATTTCCCCTGTCTCAAGCACCGTAACATGGCGCAGTATGAATTCCCTGAGTTTACCAACGTAAGTTGACTTTCCTGACTAACTTCCCTCTTTTAACTGAGGGAAAGCCTACAAACTCATCAAAAAACCATTGAAAAATATTCCCAATCACTAGGCTGGAGTTGCACATTGAAACAAATTGTGCTTGAAAAACTGCTCCAGAATCCATTTCGAGCTCTGATCGAGGTCACGGAAGGCAAACATTGCTTTCACAGTTGTTATTCTCGAAAAGTGAACACGTGGCGAGTGTGGCTGGACGGAGTTTGTTTAAAATTAGTCTTAGTAATTCATACTCGATGTAGCTGGTAATCGCCAACGTACATAGAGCGCATCCTACCCCTTCGTCAACAGCCATTGTGACTATTGCCAAAGAGTCCGAGATTTGTTTGCTTTGGAGATAAATACATTAAAACTTCAACTCTTACTTTTAGGTGAGGAGCTCGCGATCAGACTAAACTTACTCAAATAGGTTTGCACACGACACTCAGGGATCAACTGACTTCTCAACTCTGAGATAATGTGGATCGAATCACTGGTACTGTCACATGAAGTAGATTTTTTTTATCAACACGATAACCAGCGCTAACATTCCTAAAATTTCTCTTTAATTTAAGCCATCGAAAGAAAATACACTCAGCACCTGTATTTAAAAGTGTTTTAGTTGTAGGCACATTCGAAATATCCCTTTATAGTTTGGCAGCCCAAGAATTGTCTTCAGTCATGCTGGCAAACTTGAACCTCGCGTGCCTACAACCAGGAACTTCAGCGGTTGGGTGACACAGTGATTAATCATTCTACTCGACACCCCCCTCCTTCCCACAACGGGTTGAATGTCACGCGTGCGGCACGGTCGGGGCGCCCCGAACATACACCCTTGGGTGTTCTAAAACGTCCTACTTTGCACACGGCGAGTGCTCAGGCCCGACCCAGGCTCTCCCTGGTCCTACTAACAAGTCTGTCTCTAAATTCAAGTAATCGCTCAGCCTCCAGGCCTAGAAACTCGAGTACAGGCCACTGATCATAACAACCGCTAGTGCAGTGTTGTCAGCTTAGTGGAGAGGCAAATTGGCTAGCCGTGTGGCATTCATGTGCACGCGCGAAACTACAAGTCTCACTCATGTTACACCACTGGTCTTGGACGTGTTGGAGATTCCCGTTATTCCATTATTACAGTGCGAGAGTCAATATTCAGTTACAGTGTGGGGGGAAATTTAGAGTGTGACATTTTTGTTTTAAGCGCTGACACCAACGCATAACAGAGAAGGAAGCTGATGCAATTTTCACACGTCGAATAGAGAAATTCCTGATTAGTTTCATGGACATTGTTTCACGATTAATTCACTGGAGAAAGGAGATGCCGACAACTCGACTGAAAAATCATATCGACAAGCCTATGTGAAATAGTGGCATTAGCCGTAATGTGCAGACCGGCAGAGTGCCATTAGAAAATGTGAAAAGATATCCCGAAAGTGCAATAAAGCTATTCCTGTCATCTTGAGCGCTAGCGTCCGGTCAGGGGACAGACGAAAAGTGTCGAGTGGGTGTTAGAGCGACAGTAGCCGGCGCCACACATTGCTGGCGGTTTGCTGGGTGATGATGACGATCAACTCAACGCCACAGCTCAAATACAAATATGAACACGTCAGTACTCACAATACATAGGAAGATGCAACGTGGACGGCCGGCTAAAAATTGTTACCGTTCTGATAACACTTGTAAGTGAATAGTCCCACAATGATGAATAAATAAAAATGTTTGAAGAGGTCACAACTAGGCCTACGTCTTCAAAATTCCGTGTGGGTATTTTGTTTTTAACAGCGACGCGACTTTTAAGTCAGATTGGAATGATGTGTCTCCCGGCTGCCGTGGGTTATCGTTCACTCTTCGACAGAGGCTGTGGCAATTCAAACAGGGCCGAGGAAAACGGTAGCATTTCAGACAAGGCTGTATTTTATTACGCGACCAGGCTGCAACCGGCGCGCACTTGACCGTGTAAAAATACACTATGAGGGCTCAGTGCGAGGGAGGAAGATACGCTTTTAGGCCCTGTGCTGTGTTACTCTTAGGTGTAACTGTAACCGTGCGTTAAAGCCCCCCTTCTCTCTGTCAATGGCCTAATTAGCATGAAGTGTATGATGGACAGGAGAGCCAGCCTGTAAGACCTCCCAATGGGGCGGGACGAATGAGCTGAGGGATCTAGCTTCTCATTTACATGTCTATGGAGCTCGGCATGTCATCCCTTCTGCTATATACAGCCTTACTGCAGCAGCCTAGATACTGGCGGTCCAATGTGATGCCCAACTAAGGACTGCACGGTGGATAAGCACACTCCCTCATTCGTCAGGTTGGAATCACTGAGATCGCATCGTTCCCTCGAGTTCCGTGTGTTAATAACATTGACCCAATCGGGGCACACATTGTTGTACATGTTAGCTCAACCGGACCATTGCTTCCTTCCTATCAAGCAACAAACCGGAGCCCATCGGGAATAAATACGGTCGAGGTCCTCTTCCGTCGGATGTGTTTTGGGTTTTCCTTTTTTTCGGTACCAGTCCACGATTCGTGAGGAAGGGATACACTTGCCCACCCACATGTCGGCGACAGTTATATTAAGCGGGATTTATCCATAGTTTGTCACCTTTTCTTCACCCATCCAGACCAGTGTGAGATGTCAGTCCTACGTCGCTGCGCGCATGTTGTAGATACACTGACGATAGTTGTTTCCAGCCGAAGTTTTGGCCAGTGCACCGAACTTGGTTGTCACCTTGTCTGTAGAAGCAGCGAACTCATTCCGGACCGGCGGCAGCTCGCTCTGACGCGGTGGGCAAAATTTGAAGCCTCGTCGGTACAGCTGGTCTTGGAGTCGCGGCCAATGTTTGGCCCAGGGCCCATGTCCTAGCCCCGTTGCATGTCAACGCCACTTCACAGCAACTCATGCTTTGTGCTTATATCTGGGACAAGAGCGATGTTTGTGGTGAAACGGATAGTTACTACGTAAGCGCTGTTAGGCTCTCCAAAATACTAACGAAATCAATTTAAATTTTGGATTCACCTTTTGCTTTTAAGTTACAGTATCTATGTTTGCTTTACACTTTACACAAATTACACTTCAAGATGGTTTGTTTATTTCAAAGTAATGTTGCTACTTAACTGTTACTACTAAATGAAACGTATGACTGTGTTCCTTCAGTTCTTTAGTAATTAAATTACTGACACACCGATCTCTGTCTAGGTACGTTGATTTGGTTGAATACTTCATTTTACAACTTACAGTTCATACACCACATGGCCAAGAGAACTCTTGCGCAGACAGAATGTCTAGAATGCGATCGGACCAACATGTCTCTTTCTTTCTTCCCCAGATTGTTACATATCATCATCATCTGGTGTCTTAGCGTACAGGTAAGTCATTTGTCGTTATTTAGTAAAATGTTACTTCTTTATTGTATTCTTTATAGGGATAGATTAACTCCTAAAGGGGTTTGGATTTTAACCTGGAGCGAGTTCTGATGGTTTTGAGGTCACATTTTGTTACTGGCTCTATCTCAAAAAGCCAGCTTTTGATTCGGTTTTCTTCTCTGAAATATAGCCAAGTGTTAATGTCCCCATTTTTGGGAGCCATTGTAATTTTCCCTTGAATAATACGAGGTCAACAGCTAACACGCCACTTGTACTGTGGAACACCCTTGTCTGGGAAAAAGCGATTGTCCAATTGAGCCGCCTTTCATGCACGGACGTGTGACTGGTCAGTTGCAAGGGTCAGCTGTCTGATTGCAATTGCCTGCGATCGATTGTCCAATTTTTGTTGTTCTCTTCAATAAATGCAAACCATTAGCTTATAGAATAGCAATCTGGAAGTACAAAATATTCCAAATGGTTTTTCCCAATCTGTCTGCGTTTGCGTTTGCAAGCACTTTTCCCGTCAACATTTCTTCGATCATTGTTAAATAATTCTACCTGCATGAACCTATCCATTCTGAAAGCTCCTTGGCAATATGCCATAACTTTGCAGACGTGTGGGGATTAGACGTCAGGATGAACGACACATTACCGGTATTCTGCCCGTCCTGTGACTATCCAATGCAGTATTAACCGTTTCCCACAGCGGGGTACCGTAGTTGTTACCTTAATCTGTCCTGTCTACCGCACCATCTTCCCTTACTCTCCCAAGGCCATAGGAGATGGTTTAAAAATCGACACAGAGTACAACGTGGTACAATGGGCCCGGATTTACCACAATAACCGTTCATTATGGCCGCCATTGAGTACGGATAATAATGGAAAAACACTCCCTTGCTTTATGCGGGCAATACACTGAGTATACATATTTTCCTTTCACCGTGCACATTTATATGACATTTTGGTACCACCGTCCCACGACGACTTTCATCAAACCGAAACATCAACAAAATGTCTGGGACTATCTACTCATTACTCTGCATTTTTGTGTCACGTCTAATTTCATTCTAAATATCACGCAAAGGTCATCGTTGTCATTTCACTCCCACGATTGTATGTGGGGCAGTTATTATAGCGTGATGACAGATCGTCACATAACCCAGTTAAAAATCTGTCTCTAGTAAAAACATACGTTTATTCTTGGTGGAAACTTTCTAATGTTGAACTCTCCTCGCGACTGTCACTGGAGGCCTTCCGCTGCCCACATTAAATGCACAAGCAAACTTCAAACGTCCGTTATGTGTGTTTTATCGGTAACGATGTTTGCTCGCAACCAACGTAACGGTGCTATGCTAGACGGAGTGCGAGCCAGCCAAATTCAAGTTCAAATAAAAGAACGCCTACCACGTGTTGTTTGGCCAAGACGGTGTGACGCCGATACTTAGCACGGCGCCTGCGATATTCAAGTTACCCGCCTACGTAAGCCAGCTGAATGGCGTGCAGTGCTTTCTCTTCGTGTGCTGAAACCCCCTTGTGTCATATTGTTGCCCATGATTTTATACCAAGTGTAATGTGATGTATTAAATTAATGTGTTGCTTGATCAACCGAACATTAATGAGTGGGTAGTGAACGATGTAGCCACCATCCATATTTAATATGATTATTGTTATTTTTATAATCTCAACGGCCCTGATTTCTCGTCATTTAAATGGCTGGAATTCTGGGGCGTTATCGGCAAAACGGCCAGGAATGGAATTTAAAATATTTTGAAAACGCCTCACACGGTCCTGTCATTTCTTTTCTTATCAAACAATTTCCACTTTTGATGTCGTTGCTTAATGAGTTCGTGTGATGCATTCCTAACCCTGACCTTCAACAAGTCCGGAATCATGACGTGCACTCTATGACGGAAGCAGAAACAGGCACGTCTAGCCTCACAGATGACAACTGTTTGTATTGTTTGCTATTTATTTCTGCCAATCATTTAGATTGTTATACACCCTCTCATCCTCAGCTTTATCAGCTTTCAACCAATTTTTGCCACTCCAGACGGAAATATTTTGACTTCTAATATTCCCCCTTTTCTTTTTACTGTCGGGCCAGGAGTCAGTCCAACAAGATTACGAAAACAGTTTCGATCAAGGGCTTGCGGGGATCGACTTCGACTACACTGTATCCAAGCCAACACACCTGCAGTTATACAGTCGAGCCAGTGCCAAGCATTTACGAATCATGGGGAGAAACATCGACGCCAATGGGAGTTTTGGCGACCCGGATGGTAAGTCAAAAACAAATTGTCGCTAAGGATTGAAATCGCACCAGAGTGTGGAGCTATCTGTATTGATGGCTGCGAGTACTACGCGTAGCCTTCTCATTGCTCACTGCAGACCGCTCTTTGTCACAGCTGAACTGGGTAATGTCAAATGAACTGTCAAACGTTTCGACTATTTGTCGTGTTGGAATCACACTTTGAGATTAGATAAATGTCAAGTTGTCATCTGTTGGTCGTTTAGTCTGTCACTGTGTCTGTACGTCGCAAAATCCCCGAAAAAATGCCCTTTTAATTAGACGATTTTCGTGAAGTCACTCAAATGAGTGTATCATATGAAGTAAGATATGGGACGGAGAGCACCCCTCCCTTAGGTTAGTCATTGTTTGATAGGAATCCAAGGAATTCTTTGCAGACATCTGGGGGGGGGGTGTTAGGAAACAATGGTCTAGAGTGTGTATAGGGATTGGACATGGGGGGTACCCCTCCGTCCCATATCTTGGCGGGTAAAGAGTATACTGTGGCTGGTCGCGTCGGAATGAATGGATGTGTATTACTTTGGTTTCAGAGAACATGACCAGAGATAAACTTCAAAATGTGTACACACCGTAAGACTACAAGGAGGTCCAAATAGCCGGTTGTTTGCAGTGCGACATAATTTCCATGTATTGATAAATGACTGAATATTGTTGTATCAATGAATAAGTTACACCGCTATTTTTTACCATGAAATCGCCCCTTTAAAATAAATAAGCATCGGAGGGAAATGTGAGGCAGGAAGTTGGTGGCGTTGTGGGATGCATTTCAATGATGAGTAAACCTGCCTATCTACGTGCTCTGCATTCATAGCTCGCGCGGCATGGAGTACAGGCAGTGATCTCTCATGGTTTATATTCCAAAGCACAGTCGTTTCCGTCCGTACTCGCTGCAGTTTCTCTTTTATAAAAGCCAACTCGAAGATTTTGCCGCTGCTATAAATAGTCCGGCTGGTCCTCCACTCAGGTACACCAGGTCGGAGAAGAGTCAAAGACTGCAGCGCTGGCAAGTCCGGAAATGGCCTCCAATTATTTATAGTTAAAGCGTTCAACTACGGCATCAGGAAAATTACGTCCAAATTACTGTCTAATGCGCTTGGACACCACTTGGAGGAAATTCCTTGTTCGGTTACATGGTGCGGGTTTAAACCGATTTCCTAACCCCAAATGGAGGAAACACGCTTCATATTGCTAAAGAAGTTGTTTGTGCTTGGGGCAACAAAGAGAGACATGATCCAATTCCAAATCCAGAGAACATATAGACACAGATTGCTGGAATTCTTGACCAGAAAGATAAATATGAACACGTGAGTAAAAAAACATTTTCTGTTAAAAGGGAGGTGGGAACCTAATGCGTGTCGCCCACTGTACTCCCGGAAGTATAGCGGCTGGGTTGAAAGAGGGGTCCTGTTTGTTGTAAATGTTTGGTCAAGACTCTTCGGCCGGGAGATTGGTGATCGGGTAAAGCCAACTTGCAGACCATCGAAAGTGACCGGCACCAGTTACGTAAACATGGCTGGTCTCTACGCCTTGGTTTCTCGTAGCCTTTTGCATCATGCCACCACAATCTTGACAGGCGGCAACCGACATGATGCCATCCAAGACACTGGTCTTGAAGCAGGAGGCATTCCTCTAGCTCCATCCTTACCCAGACCACTGACGTACATCCCTCAATTACAGGTCATTCCTCCTCTTCTGCTTCTGCATCATCCATCTCTTGGATGAATTTTGTGAAGCAACCTTTGTTTCACGAATTCAGTCAAGGAAGAGCTAAAAATAAAATTGTCCAGTAGCTGTGAGAAGCTTCCCACGTTTTAAGATTAAAAATGGAGCCTGTCACGTGACTCCTCGCATGATTTAGCCCTAAATTGGGAACAGGTATTCCCAAACTGTCTTAATATAGCCATGCATTGATTCAAGAGCAATGAAGTATAAAACGACACTCAGTCACTTTAATGTACACCAGACCAGATTTATTGGAGTTTCTGAAATCCAAGTTCTTCCCAGGGTTTCCTTAAAGAGCCTCCAGACAGGTAAATCCCTCCTCAAGATTAGAGACTCGATCCTTCTGGAAAATTGAGCCACTTCCCTCGGAAATATCTTTCTGGGTCTCAGCACTCCCTTGCCTCCGTGCATCTCTCACCATTTTGTCTGTCAACGGCTCTCATGACTTCCCCCCCCCCCTCCGTCTCCTCACCTTCGGAATTACAAGAACGAAAATGATGTGCTAGTTTGTGATTTCTCTACCGATTGGTTTTTTCTCCTCTCTCTTTGCACTGCCCATTTGGCCCGGAGTTTGCCTCTTCTATATTCCTTCGTTCATTCTGCGTTCCTCCTTAGAGGTCTCTTTTGCAAGTTAATACATGGACACTAACGAAGCCTGGCTCCTCGCTGCACAAGTGCACAGAACCCCTTCGCATTTTCCGGCCGCCTCGTCCTCATCAGGCCTTGTTAATCACGGGTATCTGGTGTCCTGAACACGGGCAATTTTCTTTCCACAAACAAGGCAATACACTATGACGGCTGATCACTTCTCTTCCCCCCCCCTGTCCTTTTTCTCTTTTCTTGGCGGTGATTTACATGCTGCTGATTGAAATCGTTCGGCGGCAACCTGATCATGTCCTGAATAATTTATCGCCATAGGGACCTCGTTTATGTTACTCAGGACGTTAGAGGAAATCAAGCAGTACATGATGTAGCAGCCGTATGAGTGACTCCTGCGCATACTTTAATGACATGCAGAGTAGAGAAAAAGCAAAGGACATCTTAACTGAGAATCCGACCAGAGGAGAAACTGCAGCCACCTGTTAAGGCTTGCAACCTGTTCTGTCAGGCCACCTGCATGCGCTTAGTGAACAGACACCAAGTTTTACTTGAGTTCATATTATCAAGTTAGTTTCCCTGCCCTGTGGTTCTGTCATGGAGCTCAAATCAAATTGCTTTCTTTGTTCAGCAAGACCCGTCCTGGATCTCTGGAGTTTACTGTGATACAATTTTGATCTGTTATTAATTCGAACCCTGAATTCTTCGAATAGCCGGTTGATGAGGTTCATGCTAGTTAATAACTCATTCATAATTCATGTGTGACCAAGTTGGCCCAATTTTACATGACCGATCATACCTCACGCCGAGTTATCTTCTGCATATAGCTCAGTGTATTAACCCCATTCTGTGATCCCATGCATTGCTTGAATTTCTGTGACGGGAGTGCAATCCACTTATCTGGGCTCCCTTCGCGTGATGGCGTGACGAAGCCGTGATGACTGTTCACAAAAGGTCTCTCTGCACACGGCAATTTATCGTCAGCCACGCTCGGGGTAAAAAAAACTTCACATCCCCGCCAATGATGGCCTATATCCAGTCTTGCAATACTTCACTTTGAAACGCAAGCCTTGTGTTTCCAAAAAAGGGAGGAAATAACAAAAATGCCGAAAGGGGATGACCTTATCGGAACAATGCCGACAGGGGAAAAAATGACTGTCCATCGTTCACACGATTGCCATAAATCGACAATTCATTGAGACGCCTTTTGTCGCTTTAGAAATTGCCGGTATGCCACACACACGCACAACTGAAAAGAAGAAAAAACAACCCTTCGCCAAACACTCATTGTGCTTCTAAAATAATACCTCAGCGATCTCCCTGCACAATGGTAATGACATATAGATTGAGCGAGTTAATGGGAACGATTTTTCCTTGGCTTCCAGAATCTTATAGCTAATCGCTGTTTGGTAGCGTTCTCTATTGAGAGGTAGAGTGTAACATGCATGTGGCACAGTACAGTGGATAAACAGTACAAGTATCACTAAGTACAATAATTATCACAAGAAGAATTGTACACTTACACCAAGCACGGAGGTCTGACTTTACAGGAGGATCCAGGACCTATTTCAACAATAAGATCTATTATTTCTCGACCCAGCCAACCTGTGGACAGGGTAAATGTTTGCCTTATTTTCAGATTATTCCTGAAAGCCATAAGAGGTTTTCCGATCGAGCTCACAATCGTGCCCACTTAGAGATAGTGAGCTTATAATGCGTCTTTTTCACGACAATTTAATCCTCTACGTTTCCCGAACAAGGGGTTTGAATGGCAGATCGAATCGGCGGTCATTATTTGCCATGGGACAAGACTAGGACCCGTGAGCCGCCTTTCAAGCGGCCATTGTACCTCGTTAAAGTTAGCTCAATGATGTCTTAAGTCAGCACTTAGCTGTACTTGTCCAGGAGGCAAAGTTGTGGGAGAATTTCCAAGCATGGTGGCTGAAAAGCTACCCCAAGTGATCTCTTACCTCGCAAATTCTAAGAACTAGTTTTCATTCTTACCTCCTTGACGACACAACTTGTCACAAAAGCGCATATCTGCAAAGTACGGCCTGCTGAGCTATAGCTATCATTAGGACCGTGTTTAGGGCTACACTTCCAAAAGTAAAACTGAGCATTTTGTCCCCAAAAACAACACATGTAAGTTACCTTAAGTGCTACAAACATTCTCTTTTGAAGACGGTGGGTAGTGGCTTTCTTGCTTGATATCTTGGGCGAAGATCTCTTAATCCCCCGTGCCCTCAAGTCAGCCTGTTATTAGTCAGGCCTGATAATTGATTCTCAGCTTTTTTTTTACCTCTGCAGTTGGTGCTACGTTCACGAAATTGAATGGCCTCTTTGTGCTGTGTTGAGCGCTAAATCCATGATAATATGTATACCAAGCTAAACTATTTTGCCAAGATGTAAGAACAGCCGCACTGAACGCGTCAAATTTAGTAGAGGGGACCCTCACAAGCTCTTTTCAGTTGTACACAAATGCTGAATCAATCTGTCAAGTCGTACACCAGAAAAATTTCTGAGATAATCATTCATTTTGTGATTTTATAAAATTGGATATGGTTTGCAAATGAATCTTGATAATATTAATATCCTTGTATAGCCAAGGATTATGTTCAGGAATGGTCATTGTTTTGTAACTTTCCAAAGAACTTTAGGGCCTGCATTGGAACAATATTGTATCAGTGCCTTGTGTCAAACGGTTTGTGTAGATCTTTCTCAAAGAAAACACAAAATGTTCACATCGTGTGGTCGCTCCCCACGCTTGTAACATGTCCCTTTAAGCAGATCCTTTGTTACCCAAAGAAAACACCATCGTCGTGACTAAAAAGATAAAATGTATTTTGTGGTTTTGGGGCAAGGTAGGGCTTCCCTTCAACCAACAAAGAGCTAAACCTTGGAAAGTGTATAGGACAGGCAATCAACCTCCATTACAGGCCACCCAAAAAGTATAACAGAACCCAACAGTATGGGTCAGGAAAACAGAACGCCAGACAAAAGAAATTCCATGCCAAAATTTGTGAGAGACCGACAAATTAATCTTCAGAGGTTTCAGTCTGTGTTGAAAACAGTCTACAAGACATGACACAGTTCTGTCCCTAATTTGAACACTCAAGGAAACCGCCAGGCGCTGTAGGCCTCCTAGCGGAAATATCAAGTCCTCTCAAGAACATCAGACCCTACGTCTTATTTACATCTTAAAAACAAACACACACCCCTGACGTTCTCAACCGTTGATCCCTCCGAACCAAACATTAAACAAGTGGGCGGATGATTACGATGACAGAATCTATCAGTTCTGGGTTGGTGACGTCATATTATTGCTCGTCGCCAGCTTAACTTTTTTCGTTCTCGCATAGTTTTAAGACGGCAACCTTGCATCAAGGGAGGCGAATAAGACAGGCAATTTACCGCACGTACATCAGCGCGTTTCTAAAATAGCGACTGGCAGAGGTGCCCGTCCTGACGTCATGGATTGGGAGAAGTCATTTACATGAGAGGCAGAATGCACTCGCACGCGGCTAAGCAACGACACTGCTGACAGAGTGATGCGATAACCTAAATTGGGTCTCGTTAATTGGGTCCCCGTCAATCTTGCCCCAGAAGAGGATGGGCCGTGAAGGGGGGGGGCTAGTTTTGGGGGGCGTGGTTGGCATCACAGCATCCGCCTTTCTCCCCCTCTTTTTTGGTCACAGCTTTATGAATGGGATTGTGATGTTGCGTGCTGTATGATCAGAGGCGTGGGATCACCGCAGGATTAACTCTAGCATTAAGCCAGTGAATGAAGTATATATAAGACATACTGGAGGTAAAAGAAAGAACCTGAATAGCAGGTTTTAGGAGACAGCGTTAGAAAATGAATAATCAGAGATCGATTGTTGCAAGGGAGATCCCAAAGCAAGCTCAGTCTCCCTAGACACACCGTTTCACGTCTTTCCTGCTTGCCAGCACTTCACCCTGTTCGCTTTTGACTCGAAACTAAAAACAAGGTCTGTGATACTTATATGACTGTAACTTTAAAGTCCTTCCAAACTATCTACTCGTGCAATCTACAGGCTTCAATAAAAACACTTTACAGGAAAGCGGCGAAGACATTTCAGCAATGGGGGAGGGGCAGATATCAGAATGATATCGCGCCGGTCAGCCGGCTCTTCGAGTATAGTGTTTTTGACTCGGAGGAAATAATTAGTAGGAGGGTTTTTCCACGCCAGCGGAATTCCTACGTACAGGAGCGTTTTCCCTCATATTGTTGTCACAGTCCAACGAAATCATCTTCGCTTCACTGGTTGCAGTTTACTCTTAACTTGGAAGGGATGGATTCAAGGTTGGGACATTCGTCCCTGTTTTCTTCGCAACTGAACGCGTGGGTTATTACGAAATCGGTAGGAATGTGACATTTTGAAAACAACCGCGACTTGAATCCGTTCTCATCATCCACCTGTCAGTCAACTAACTTCATAGCTGTTGACGCGAAACACGACACTACTCGGTGATACCACCTCTACCACTAACCGTCATTGCCTTAAGAATAAGGCCCCCTATGTATCGGTGGGTGGCTACCGGTCTTACGCTGACAGGTTGTTTGATTACCTGGCCGATGTCACACCGTCGGGACTCAGACGTGCCGCCACCTTAACTAGGCGCGCGTGACCTGTAGAAGGGAGTCGATTTATTGACAACTGGGGGTCGGCTGTGAGGCTGGACTAGGGGAAAACGAGCCACTGCAAACAGATCTGATAATGTCTGCATGTACTGAAAAAGGAGGAGAAAGAGAAGGCTTTTGCAGGAATAGGATTTGTACTGAACGCGTTGGCCCATCCACGATTGGCTGATTAACATGCTGCGTTTACCCCGAAATCGTTGCAGGAGATTCCTATTTTCAGGTAGTGAGTCCTGAAAATTTCTGACGAAAACTGGCGATGCCCTCTATAAAGGCGTCCATGTCTGGAGGCATTCCGAATTCCAAGTTCTCAGACCATAGATTCTCACCCCCTCAGTTATCAAATGCCTCTGTGTAAAGTGATCAAGGCAATGAGTGATTATTTCGGTCAATTTATTGGCAACTCCGGGATGGAGACAAAAGCGCATTGATGAGCCAGGTACAGGAATATACGGGCCTCATTTCTTGCCGTCTGCGGCTTGACGTCAACGGGTCGTCTGCTTGTCAACCGCTGCTAGTCATTGTCCAGTGCCGTATTGACATCACACATCCTGGATATCGCGACTGTTGTTAAGTCACTCGTACGTCCTGTCGCCACTACGACCCCCTAAAGTCTTCATTAAGTGTTCCCATTATAGGCTCAATAGACGAAACTAGTCGATACAGCGGAGAGGCGAGAGGTTCACTATGCGTCGTGACCCAGATGTCGGTCAAATTCCCTCGAAAACGTGAAGAAAAAGTTACCCTGCCATTAAGGTCCAGGTTTGATTGAAACCCCAGTTTTAAAACAAGAATTTTCCTCTTAAGAAACCAGCCTCCTGATCGTTCGACCAGATAGGGTCTAGGACCTGAGGCCATTTTAGTGGGATGGTGTTTTCTTTTTTTAGCGAAAGTGGCTGGCTCTATAGGTGCGTTCGTCGGACCCCCGGCGGGCAATTGCCTGCCAACTTTGACACGTATTTTGATGGCGTTCCCGTCTCTGACCTCACTTGACCTCCTATCCTGGTTATTAGGGGGTAATAATGGGCAATAACTGTGACATTCCGACTCTGATAAGAGCTTGCGATCACAGATAAGACCAATCGTCGCCAGCTAACTCCTGTGCTGCGCTTTCTGAACAAAATGAACTGCAGTGCAGCAAACGTCGTCGTCTTTTGTTTTCTTTCTTTTTATCAAATGGGACATACTTTCCAGTATTTTTTACAATACTGATAACACTCTGATGGAGAGATTTGTAAAGAATTGGAGACAAAGGGGATTATTTCCCCGCCGTTCGCAGTGAGTGTAGGGTATACTTGAAGTCATGGTGTTATGAAAAGGTGTTTTTGTTGGGCTTTTTGTAACTTACTTGTCCATTTTTCATCAACAGATAAATTTCATCATTCAGTGTCTCTCGAGTGTGTTTTATTCACCGACGCAATGCTTCCGAATTACTATGCCCAGTTCCGAAATTCACGTCCTTCTCGTTCACCCCCTCCAAAATAGCCCTAAGACGTCCGGGAAAAAGTGATTGCTCAAGAAGTCCAAACATAAATCTATTATCAAGATACATGCAAATTATTGGTGCGTATATGTTTATGAATATTCATGTTTGTTTGTTGTTGTGTTTTCCTAATTTCACCAGCAAGGCTACTATTCCGGACGAATTCACTCGAGGGCCAAATAACGATTCAGGGCGAGCAGACCGGATATTTCTTGTGCATCAACAAAAAGGGACACGTGGTCGGACGGGTAAGTTATGCCCTAGAATTCATCAAAAAGGAACCTGTAATGTTTACGCTGCTTTATGTCTGCTCATAAATCAAAGCTGTTGTATAGTATATACACATGCTTTTTGTGTACACTGGTGATTTGTCTTTCGGTGGAATTTTCGCCGTATTGAAATCGCAAGTTTTATGGAACGGGGGAGTTTTTGTAACACAAACGTACTACTGTACCCTTTATGGATGAAATACCCGTAAAGGACATGTACCTGAATCCACAATACTCGAGTGTGGCGTGGGAAAAGATGATAGATAGTTGGGGATACCGTCGAAACCTCCAAGGCACAGAAATCAGTTACAAATCTGTCGTATCGATACAACAATTTTGTACGTGCATAGGGCCTATACTTCATTTCACTTACAAGTCACGTTAGCCTGTAAGTGTGACTACATGCTGCAAATGTTACCAGCGGCCAGATTTTGCCCATTCATTTCCTTTCCTTGGCTTGGTTGGTTAAGTGTCATTGCACCATCAATGGTTGCATCCTTGAAGCAAAAACGCCTGTCTCATCTCTGTCTTAAAGGGACGAACAAGTCAAGACTGGGCATTCCTTCATCTTCGCTTCTAGGTTTTGAATCAGTACTAAAATCAGGTCTTAAAAACAATTTTATACCGTTGACGTCTTCGAGTTCAAATCTATGATGTTGACTTTTCCAGTGCGAATTACTCTATTAATCACATCTTGGTTCGGGTGACGTATCATGACGTCATCTTTACAGCATAGAAATATACCTCATTCACGGGGAAGCCATCTGATTCAATGTTATCTGTTAAATGAGGTGGTGCCAGAGTCTTTGTGGGTTCCATGCCCCACTTTCATTCTTTTTTAAATGTGGCTTGAAACATGTAGCTATAATTAATCATAAATTAAAAAAATCCTCATCAGCATAAATGACATTAATTTGTAATGAAGTTTATTTCATTGCGTTCATTTTTATTCTCAGGTCCAATCAAACACGTTAACCTCGCTGCTAATTCAATATATTATGACTGGTTTGTAAATAAGACCAGTTAACTCCTGATAAGGGATCATGATCCAAAATGCACAGAGTGTGTTTTTTTAGGTATTGGGGCACATTAGTAGCGACCTGTAACTTCTGAGGCTTCATTCCGTCTCTATAATTGATCAGCCTTTGAAGATATCTTTCTTTAAATATAAACACGATGTGAATGACTCTTTAATATAAAGGCCAAAAGATATGCCCAAATTGGCCTTCAACATACACGGTAGCCCACTGTACCACTGTGTTCATTTTAAGGCAATGTAATATAGGCAGTACACGTATTATATTCTACATACATCGATGCCGGTAGGCTCCACACGTGTGCGATTATACCTCTGCGGAAGTACGCTTAATTGACCGACGTTTATGAGTTCCTCAAACCCGGCGTTTCAGTCTATTCTGCTGTTGGGCAGATCTCGTCTGGCGCAGAATTAAAGAGAGTTCTCGCTCTCCAAGCCAGCTCTTGTCTTTTTTTTACCCCAACTTTTAATGCCATTATCAAAATTGACGGGTTTTCTTTTGTGAAACTAGACCCCCCGTTCCTTCCAGCAAAATAATAAGACCAACGTTGTTAGCCGAGGCTGGTAGGCCGCCTAGCCCGTGGTTAGCTCTGGGTTTTTGGTTTTTTTTTATTGCGGCTTCTTTCATTGCGAACTTCAGCCAGTCTTTTTTGTCTGGGGATCATCGGTGAAGGAAAATGAGCCGTAGCTTCAGGAGGCCAACTGATATCCGTTACCCTTGGGAACATTTATTTCAGAATCAGAAATATTTTTGGAATCGAAAGCATTTAGCAAAGAGGTGAATCCAGTGCACGCTTTGGTCTTCCCACAGGGAGAAGATAAAGCAAAACAAACACCTCAACAAACACCCCAACACCCCAACAAACAAACAAACACCCCAACAACCCCAGCAACCCAACAAACAAACAAAAACCCTGTGAAGCAAGTAAGGGTTATCACTGCATGGTGGCTGTATTTTCCATCTCTAGTAAAAACTTCAACAGAGCAATAAGCAGTGAACAGCTCTTTTCCCCTTTCTTTCAGTATCCTTGGTTTGTAGCTGTTGACGTTTCTTGCAATGTTTGAAGTCTAGTTCCCAACCCTTCCCGTAGCGTCCCGTTAGGGCTTTGCGATAATGCAATCATCCTGATAACTCCTTTAACAGTCAATCCTGTTATGTCTAACTCGCGGAAAGCACGTACCCGGGTAGGTGGGTACCGGAAGCTAGACTCAAGGAGATCGGTGTTGAGAGACTTTCGTTATACCAAAGAGCCAGTGGATTTAGTGAAAAGCCGAACCCAAAGAGAACAAGTCTGCCATTACATTTGACCAAAGGGCTGTAATACACTGGATACGCTTGGTTCCTTCTCAAACTTCGGAAATAACAGCGATTGTAGATCGCCTTTACAGAAGACTTGGTGTTGAAACGATTGTGAAAAGCGTTAGTGTTGCTTGGCAAAGCGAAACTTACACCTTTTTGGGGTTTAATGAAAAAATGTGAAATGATTGAGACCGAATACATGACATGGCGAATTCCTAGCTTACTTTCAAGTTTTCGATGGCACACGCGGACTTAACAAAGGGAAATACGCAAGCTGAAACCCAGATACTTGCTGTAAGCTGGAACTCGCATTGACACAAATGCACACCCCGTATTAAGTATGAGTTTGTTAAAGTGAATAACAATGCTTGCATAACGCTGATATGTAATTACTGACGTGGGAGGAGAATATGTACAATCACAGTGTCTGTGTGCAGAGAGGAAGACTCTAAGTCGTAATACACTAAGCCTATAGCGTGGCTGCGCATGCCATGTACAAAAGCTTCCTTTTCTGTAGCTGTCTATGCCCGATTTACTTTCCTAAATTCGACGACCTTCGCAACATTTTCTTAGGCCGAGACATCTCACGACACTCCGTGTTACATAGAATATCGTCAATTCTTGTGGGGCATTCTGGTGGATAAATCGAACATGTGTAGTACGCAATGAGAGATTCCATTTTGCCGGCCATCATGCCGCTAACCCTTTTGATCACACCAGACGAGCTGTTGTAGAAACTGTCGACTACAATAGGCCAGGTGTCTCGGTAGATTTGCGCGGCTGAGGTCGGATGTCTGACCACCCTGAAGTTTTATTAGGGACTACAATTCTGCAAAAAGGTCTACTCGAGGTTAAATCTCTTTATCGGAACCAGATCGGTCTGAGGAGAAGTAATTATTTGGTGGTTTTGAAAAAAATCCATTGGCACCATTTTTCGAGTAGCCTGATCCTGTATGGGATCCAATCTAGGTGCATAACATTGACTCTTTTGGCGTCTTGCACATTCGTGCAACATATGATTTATGCAGAAACAGATACTTTGATAGTTGATGTTTTCGATGGTAAAGTAACGGATAGCAAACACGTCCCCACCCATCAAACTTGAAATCTATACTCAAATTATCTTTATACCGTAGTTAATTATTTCAATGATCAGCTGTAATTATATGGACTGTTCCGTTCAGAACTAAAGTGACATTTGGGCTTCCTGTCAATCCTGTTTCTCGTATCTGTTTATTAGCCATGGGATCTTAGGTGTTTCATTACACATAATAGCCATTGATGTGATAAGATGACTGATGAAGGAGTTATCTGAACTAATTCGTGGCGGGGGTAATAAGGCATAGATATATATAGGCCTGCATAAAAGATGACCAGGATATCTTTGTGACGCATGACCGGTAAAATTCATTCATGTCATATCCAACTCGACACGAGAGTTTTAACAAGGCATGTTTCCCTTTTATTTTTTGTTTTCTTCTCCCAGAAGAGACTTAAGAAAGGCGGAAGTGTGTCTTGTGTCTTTACGGAAACCATCAACAACGGATATACGGAGTTGAAACTGGTCCAGAAAACCGAGATGTACCTAGGATTCAATAGAGACGGACGAGCCATGCGAGCTCAGAGGACTCGGCCGGGTGTCAAGTCCGTGCAGTTCTTGAAACGGTCCCTTCCAGAGTCAAATTCAGACGACGAATCCTCCATGAGCTCTGCGGACATTTATAGGTTCTACCAGTTGATTCAACAAATGGAAACGAACAACGACGCCACAAGGCAGGAGGACACAGCCAGCTGATGAATAATTCATGTTTTTCTCCACATCACAAGCATCAATCGTCCGGTTTGCCACGGACCGTTTCCCCTACCCTCACCCTCAAGAATTAGCTTATGTAAGTTTATGTATATAAAGTGTAACAATATTTTTATATGAAGATTGGTAATTTATATAATTGTAAATTAATATTGTACCAAATGACTTCGAAGAAGTATTTATTTATTACGCTGGCTTGGTTGACAATATTAAAAACACGTGGCGACATTGGATTGGACAAAGTGGGAACACGCACTTTGAGAACAGCCTATTGAGCATGCGCGATGACGTCATGTTTACGTAAACAGCAGCATTGTGTCTTGCAGTTGGGACCATGCTAACTTTACGAAGCACCAAAAGGCGTCTTTTCTACTTGCGTCTTCCGTTCGTGTTTAATGCTGGGATTAATACCATCTTCCGCAACACTGCCAAGAACCACGGACAGCTAGGCATGCATTGCAGGCACAGGACGCACAGGACGGCCGCTATGTTGGGGGTTATTCCACAACCATCTTGGGTGTTTCTGGAACGTTTAGGACTTCCATGCAGTGTGGATATGGATTCAACGCTGCTCTCGATTATATTTCCGTTTGGATGGATAGCAGACGACCCTGGTTACCAATCATTATAAAAGGCCAGTTAAGTGGTACTCCCATTTCCTCACAATCCAGATTCCCAAATTCGTATCTTTGTAGGAAAATTTCATTATTTAGGAAGTAAAATGCAGACACTACAAACTAAGCACCTGGAAACGTGTTCCATAAAGCCAGATAAATTCATCCACATACTAACCATGACTGTTTGACAGGTAGGCCTGTACCTTTCCGCTCTTTCCGTCATTAACCTCTCTTCATTTTCTGGTTACCAAACCAAGGTGACTGCACACTTTGGTGCATTTGCTGACGTAATGGGGGTGTCACAACTGTTCCTTTGAAGTGACCAGGTGATATAGCACAGGAGCAGCCCAGGTATATCACGTGACTGCAAAGGCAGTCACTCCTTTGTTCCTCCTGAAACATACTATGGTATATATCTTCTCTTCTTACGTAAGCTGTATAGCAATGTCTCATTATCATCGTTAGGAAGTAATCAAAAACAGGACAAAGGGAAGTAATTGTGATCATTTTTATATTCTGAATAATATGTAAATCAGAGATTTGTCTTACCAATTATTTGGGGGGGGGTGAACAAAGTATACCGGGACCATTTGGCCCATCGCGTATTTGGTGTTTTCCCCCCAAATAATGTTTTCTGGAAGGTATACTTCCAAAGCTAAATTTATGAACAAGTCACTGGTGATACATTTTTATTCAGTGTTGTAAAGTCTGCAGACGAAACAAATATATACAGTGTGTGTGCGTATGCTTCTTTTAAAAATCAGTACAGTGTATCTAGATTTACCATATTTACGGCAACTTAATTGAGCAAACAGAGACAGCATTCTGAGCACACCTTTTCTATGTGAAGGTCTTGCATACGATAGATTCGTATGTATGCCATGTTTCTTGTAATGGCATCTTATATGTGCCATATTGATGCCTTCTAACGTTAAGGCAGTACATGGGTTCGAAAGGTATCAGATATTGCACGTTGTTGCGGGTATAAAGACAAGCATTAAATGTACATGTATCTCATCACTTCTGTGACATTGAACTATTCAAGAGACAGTGTAAGTTGGAGTCAGGCATTTTTTAATGATCAGCCTGAGCCGTTCCACTTTTAGGTTTCTATCTTAAAATGCTGCAAGTTTCTCTCCCACTTTGTGAGACATTGAGAGTCCATTTCAGCTGGCCCACTGAATTGCACATTATTAATCTGCCCAAGGATCCTCAAAGGACGTATTAGGCCAGTGTAGTCATACAACGGAGTTTGGTAATACTTGTTGGACGAGATGATGGTCAAAGGTCAACATGTTACGAATAGCCGAATGCTCTGTATGACAGTGTCCATGACCGATTCTTTCGGGCTTTGAAATTTTGCTTTTAAAGTTTAAAACGACAGGGGACACTGCGGTCATGGTACATGTACATCCGTCAGGTGTACAATTGTCAGCATTTTTTGCTAAGCCAGCAAGGTATTTCCACCACTATCTACTTTTCCTTTTTTAAACAGTTGGGCACTGAAACACGAGAAAATCTCTGAGATTGGAAACAGTTCTTTGTCAAGCAGATATTTAAGTATTTAAGATAAGTATGACTTCGCCTCTGACAAACTGCAGCTGTGGGTATAACTGTGTAGATTAGAAGCCGTCTGCTCGTCATAGGCCACCGGGAGGATGAGATTTGGGGTCTGTAGTCCCATCTGACCGGCTCCTATTTCCGACATACTGCCAGGTCTGCGAGTTCATGACCTCAAACATCGCTTCTGTGGTCACCCCTTGAGACACGGGCATTCTGATTTCAATAAACGTGCTACCAAGCCTTCTTTATTTCGGAGTACATACAGTCTGGTACAGTACGTTTTGATTGATCTATGGGATGTTTCAGCTTCGGCTTGAAACATTGGCCTTCCTGTCAGTGAATCATTCTAAAGGTTGCCATTCGTTGATTTTCGGCAACACATTGTACGTGATGAAAAAACTAACAGACAATCCACTCTAGGAAATGAACTGAGACTCTTTCAGCAGACCATATCACTCAAATTCAAGATACTTTACTTTGTTGTAGAGTAAAAAAAACAATCAAATAAAAAATGATAACTGTAAATGAAACACGAGCCTGGCGATTAGCGAGGCCTTACATGGCCTCAGTTTCCCAATGCTTTGTTTGTGATATCATTATAGGCCTATTTCGTCGTATCCGCTGAAGAGGTGGCAGTAACCCTTTATAGCAACAAATCGGGCATTACTTGATGTCATTCGTACCGGTATCTGCCAGCCTGTCGTTCTGCACCTTCCACAGCCCCTGTAGAAAGTACGTGCCGTGCGTGGCACAATAATACATTGTGCAATAAACTGCGTTTAGTCAGCAAGCTCAGACTGAATTCAACCCTGACAAAAAATTGCGACATAAGTAAACAACATGCATCCTGTACGTTTGTGAAAGCACTGATCCAGTCCACTGTAAATTTGGCGTTATTATAAACGGACATGTTACATGTATTGTACTTGTATTCACGTGGTCCTATTGACCGCAATGGCTGCAGATTTGGCTCTGGATGTGTGCTACACAAGCTATCCACGTACATATGTACATGTATAAAGTATGTGGCCAATAGCGATCGCTGTTAAGGATTCAACGCTTGAGAGTTATGTCACACCACCAGTAATTGGTCAAAGGTGGTTAGTTGGTTTATGCGGAAGTTGCATCATAAGGGACTTGAGTAATTGCTTTAATACATGACACAAAGACTGCTCACAAATTCAAAGCTTTGGTAAAATAGTAAGTATGTATCGTTGACTGTAGTAAGCGTGGAATCGGTATTTTACAAAACTACAAATTGAAACAATTACCGATTTTGATCTTTGTTTTCAATGGGAATGGTTTGCTGTTGTTTCATCACTCAATGGTATCCAGCTACATGTACAATCAAGTTCAATTCTGTAACTTCGCCTGGACCATTAGGAAGATGTATTCTGTTTACGGTAGACGGATCTACTTTTGTTTTCAATGAATCCCTTTCCTCCGTTCCTGTCACATCTTGGATGAACGTTTTCCAGTGCCGTATCCAGATGTTTATTTCTGTGGCCTCGTCGAGCGTAGTGCATATTAAAAAAAGTCATGTAATGTTGATATAAATGTTGTTACAACAATTAATATTGTGAATTTTACACAAGTCGCGGGACCAATGTTGTACGCTGTAACTCGAAGAACTTGAAAAAATAATCAGACAAAAAATAATAAAATGATTTGTAATGTACAACATCATGTGAGAATAGTTGGTGGGTCGTAACGCCGATGGTGCTGAATAAAAAATATACGAAAAACTTGTCACTTTAAAAGCGAAACGAAGCAAGAAGTTTCTTTGTCATATTATTCTGTTGTGGCCTTGCTTTGGTTGATGATATGAAGACACAAATTATGGGTGTGTCCTTTCCTGACTTCGCTGAGATAGGTGTCTCCTTGCTGTAAGCTTTTATCTGACAAATCCTCGTGGTTAGCGAGAATCTGTGGAGATTTTGGATTACCTCTGATTGAGGAAAAAAATTCCGTATATATATATATATATAATTTCAGGAGTTGGCCTTGTCCACAGTGTTAGTGTTAACAGAAATATTCCATCGCTTAAGAAGGTTAGAATAACGTCATTCAATATTCACTTCACCGGCCACAATTGGGCCTACCTTTTTGAAACCCATGACTTCCTCAGCGTCATTTCAATGTCATGGATTGTATCCCGTAGTATTTCCAGATCTGAATCGTCCCAGATCAAAAGACGTGTTAATTTCCACACCCTACAGGGCTGAATATCCCGTCTTTATCTGAAAAGTCTCTAAGTAACATCAGTAATGACCAATCATACACTCATGGGATTGTAACACTTGAGATTTCATTAACACCCTCACCGGCACGAACCAGGTCGTAACTATCCCGTGCCCAACCAATTTACCGTCTGCACTTCCACACAGAGGCGATGTCAGCCGGAAGGCGGCGACGATTCGCATGTCATCCATATTAATACGCAAGTACGTGTCTGGTCATGCATGATGCAACTTACGAGGCGTACATCTAGCACACTCTCACCCTCTCTCCCTGCTAATTCGTTCCTCTCAGGATGAGCCTCTACTCCCGACCCGACCTCTCTAGTCGATCTTGTTTTTCACCGGATACTGTTTCAAAAGTCTCGGAGGCAAGGACACCTATATCCTCCATCATAATGATTTGCGAGTGCTTCAAAATGCCCAATTTTCTGGCACTTTTTTTTTATCTTGCCCTTTCCCTTTTTTCGAAGAGAAATAGTCCCGTTCACTGTACAAGAGTACCGGCATCGATTACCACATCTCAGGGTTTGCAGCGGCACACTTGATGAGGCAGAACGGCCGAAAATGTCAGCGATTATTAGTCTCTTCACCAGCTAGAGATCCGTGAGAAATACTCCTCTAAACTGTACTTATTGGAGCTTCGTGGTTAACATAGCACGCGGAAACCCATACCCATGTCAAAAACATTCTGTGCCTCCCTTTTTCCTTTTTTTTTTGCCAACAGTCAAAGTATTTTTTTACATACAAGGTCCAAGCTGAAAAAATATCGGTTTCAGAAAATATAAGAAAACCAATTACATGTATTATATACTAATAATGACCAAGTTCACGCTGTATTCTCAACGACATGCAGTTGCAACGGCGAAAGCGGACTATTTCAAGTTCATTGTGATTTTTTATTCAGCTTCTCTCAGTCATAACAACAATGGGCTTTGTTTACTAATCGGGGCGTGTAACTCAGCAGTTCCGGTACCTTTCGAGGTTCACTGCACTGTCGCTGGCCATTTGACACCGGGACCAAGTTGACCACTCGTCCGCGCTGCGCTGCGGGGAACCCGCCCACCGACGCGTCCCAACATCCTGCCTGATTAGTGGGCCGGACAATTTCTTAGTTTTTGTGCCGCCAAATGAAATTTGGGGCTTTTTAAAAATTTCTATGTCGGGTCGTTGCACAATATCCGCACAAAAATAACACCGGAGGTGTGGGCACATGGTGGCTGGACTTGTTCAGTCAGTACTGGGAATGACATCCTTGTTTTATAATAAACACCAACCATCAAATATGATCTGACATTTACATGCATACCGGTACGTCCCGGCCGCAAAGCATGCGTCATTTTCCAGATGACGCTAAGGCAAGTCTGTCATGTCTTTCCGGCCAAGGTTGTGCGTGAGCCGGCAAATGTAGTCAACATGTACCATCAGACAAGGCGATCTGCACGGTTCGAATGTAAGCCCTCATGAATACCATACAAGGTGTCACACTTATATCATGTACCGGCACAAACATATTGCATATATCATTATCGGAAGAATTCAGGTTGGAATGATATCTTTGACAGCAAAGTAAAGCGGTTTAGAAAAGACTAATAACCCCCCGGCCAACTCTACAAAACCATGACTGGTTTCCCTCCTATACCGGGCTCCTCAAATTAAACAGTGAACTTTCCAAGTAAGACAAATGGAGTGAAATCTAGGGACCATGTCGATTCAAGAGTGTCAAGGGATTTGAATGCGATGCGGTGCACGCAGATCATGCCTCACGAGAAATGACTGCAGTCGCCCAAGATGTTTTTCTGTTCCCATTTTTAAAGGGTCGTCTATGTTACTGAATCCCGCTTGGAGATAACCGCGGAAGTGAGGAAGGTATGGAGAGGAAACGAGGCCCAGTCCGACCGTCCATTATAGTGTCACATGGAGGGGGGGGGCTCAGCGAAAGACAACGAGAGCCACAAAAACACATCGGCAGATGGATGAGTCTTAATTGTTTGGCAGTTAACAGGAGACAGCTCGGATAAAAACCACATTGCAGGAAAGTCGTTGCCAGCATTGCTTTTGTCATTATAGCCTACTAAAGCTATGGTTGTGAAATCACATGGGACTACCATGCAAAAAGCGGGAATGTTTTATCTGGCTTTGATATTATCTGTTGGACTCGTGTGATCCGGTGATGTTAGTGGCAGCGGCTGATGATGTCACAAATACATAATGGTGCAAAACATCCCGGGCGAGCCTGAAAATTGGTACTGGTGAAAGTCTAGACGGTGCGGTACCTCTGATGGCTTGTCTGTTCATCTATACGGATAGTTGAATACTTGATTTAACACACCTCTTAAAATATTCACAGAAAATATTTGCCAAAAAATAAGTATCAGAGGACAAATAAACGGACCATGAAATGTCGATACCGTTGGAAACTTTCATAAAGCAAATTAACCGTTTTTAGTTCGCTAGTTTTCGATGGTTAGGGCCTAATTTCCACGTACTTTTTAGCTCCAATGTTCTAGGTCCACCTTTGGTTCATTGTCCTTTTGGAGGTGGTGGGTGTTTGTTTGCGCTTTTATAATTTTTCATTGGTCCACATATACCCAGAAGTTAGTGGTGACTTATCATCCATGACAACTAACATTACATAATAGATGAACTAATTTGGATTTGGTGTCAAGCGATTAATGTCGCAGTAAAAGTGTGATTTGCAACGAAAAAACCGCTACATTGTTCATTGTTAATTTATTTCCACAGTTTTGCATACATACAATCTCAATTTTCAAACTCTATATAAATACAGGGAAAAAGCGGTGAAGGTACCCACTAAAAAGCAAAGCTTATGAAAGTGGGGCCTTAAAACAATTAATAGTTACTATTAATTAATTACCACACACAAAAGACAAACACTACACAGAAAAGACACCCTAAGTGTGTCAGTTAACAATTACATAAGTTGGAAATAAAAAAATAAGAAAAGGAAAAATGAAAGAGAATAAGAATCCTGGAAGATTACAGATAAAGCTAATCAATTCCACAGTCAATAATTATTGATAGTTATCATTCAATATGATCTTATTGAAGTTCCATTTGAAGATTCGCAATTTTTCGAGGTTTTCAGATTCTCATTCAAAGATTTCCATAATCTTGGTCCTTCATATCTGATTTTTTTTTACCCAAAGATTTACGCATTAATGGCAGATGAAATTTGCACTTTGACGAGTATAATGCGAATGAACAAAAAGTCTTTATGATCCGGCTCATGTGGTATAAATCAAACCCGACAGGAAAGGTGAATGTATACTTCGAATACTGTTTACCTACACCTCTCTTCGTCTTTGTGCAAACAAAGCCAAGATTTTTGTCTCAATCCCGACACCCCAACTTGAACCGATGCCAATGCCCCCCGACGAGCCTTAATGGGAATTAAAACAGTTCTGAAGAGCGAACCAGCCGCGGAACCAACAACATCCTCCCATAAACCAGCCCGAGGAAGACTTCAGTCACGCTATTTACCCGACCCGCTGCAATCAAGTTGGATTTACAAGGGCCTGCCTCGTTAAAGAGTTCTCCTTTCTAATTGAGGAGAAACACCACAAGACTTCGCGGTTTGCAGCGCTGTGAGAGGAGAGGAACAGCAATTCTAAAAAGAAGCCTCAGTTAAAAATAGAGACTTTAGTGTTTAGCCCGACAGTGGGAAACCGCCAGTCGCGATATTGCCCTGTTCAAGAGCGAGTTTCTGGCACGACATACCAAAATCAACAACATCCTTACTTCGTCAACATCAGTCACCAGAAATTAAGACATCCGTAAATCTACAAACTGCAACAACTCATGTAGTGGCAAACACAAAGCAAACAGCACTAATCCCAACATTTACGAAACATTTCAGCAGTTGACTTAAAAGTTCCATTAGTCTGTTGTTGCACAGAAATTGCTGAATTCTAGTGTAATTTAGAGAGAAGTCATTTAAACTGACCACATATGCAATCCGCCATCGCCCATTGTTTTATCGTTCCCAAAAGGCCCCAAACTTTCAAAACTGGTTTTCTTCCCTGTCGCGCACCTTCACCGCCGTTCGGGTCTGTGTGTAGTGGGTACAAGGGGCCACTACTGTAGGTGGGGAGAATTTGCTCTTGGCACGCTGCCGCCATAGGCGTGCAGAGCTTCGATCTGGCAGCTGAATGTAGCCGGTTCAGCGATTCGTGCGCGTGTTGCTTAGTAATTTTGTGACGCGTCAGCTCTTACACCACGCGATTGGCCAATATTTCAAAAGCTGCGTTGACACGTTTCTGACGCAATTGTACAAGCTGCCAGTTTGAGGCTCTGCATGCCTATGGCGGCAACGTGCGAATAGTGACCTACTCCCCGTCTGGCCAATGGCCTATCGTTCGCTTCCCTTCTCCAGCTCCAGGCCGACCGCCACAACGATTCAACAGCTGTTTCCTGTGCCCTAGTTTTCCCCTGTATTGTGCGGTGAAGCGGGATTCTTCTCAGGTACGGGGGCACACTGAATGGCCTGACATATTTTGACAAAAATATGGT